GTGTGTGTGTGTGTGTGTGTCTGTGTGTGCTTGCGTGCGTGCAAGCAGGTGAAATTCGTCCACTGTAGTCTTCAGTCTGTTTTGGCCCTGTTGTAGTTGTAGGACTCTAAAGGCAAAAAAAACAGGTAAATAAAGTTTAACTGACGAACGGTCACAAAAACAAAAGATATTAAATCAAACATTTATGAGTTGGTGATTTAGAGTTGCAAAGATCCAACAAGAAAGAAGACCTGTTTTAAAAAATGCCTCCGCCAATGACGGAAGTACTGTCAGACAAAGATCTTGGCAAGTGCATCCGCGCCGGCACTGGCGATGAACGGCTGGGAAGAGTGGAAGGCCACGTCGTGAATGGCCTCATCGTGCTTCTTCCTGTGGGCTGTGATCTCCTGCACGCACGTCCTGTTGTCCAGCATCCACAGGCGCACCGAGCAGTCGTGGCCTGCAGGGGGCGGAGAGAGGGAGGAAACAAAGACAGAAACAAAGTTATGGAGGGGCAAAGATCACTGTTGAGTACAATGGAAAGGAATCTTTTATATTGTTTTACAAAATAGACTTAATGTACAGCTTATTATGCATTGTGTTACACTGCAACTTTAGCCGAGACTGTGCAGAAAGTTCTCAGTCTAAACTTGAGCCGTGTTTTTTGTCTATGGTTTAAAAAACCTTTTACCATCTTTTACATGCAAACCCCGAAGACAGTTTTTATTTTCACTATTTATTTTTAAACCTATTTATAAATCCCTTAAATATTCCCACTTGTGTACAGAATAAACTTGACTCAAACAAAGTGTTTGCATTGAAATGTCTCTGGGTATGATAATATTTTATGAAAACACAACACAGTGGAAAAGACATTATGATTGACAGTATTTTGAAAATGTTGTAAACTGTGTACTCACTGCCAGAGATGAGGTAAGTGCCTTTAGGATCTGTAGTGAGACAGGTGACCGCATCCAGGTGAGCAACCATTGAGTGGACAACTTTACCTGTGCAAACACACAAAGTCATTGTTTAGATGTATTCGCATCCCAGAATAAAATATGTCTACAAAGGAATCTAAGAGACGACCAGTAGAAATAAAACAGCTCCTGCACATACCTGACTTATTGTCTAGGAAGCGGATGGTACGGTTCTCATGTGCAGTGATGGAGACGGGCTCAGATGGGTGACTGACCACCCGGTTGATCAGTTCACTGCCTGCAAAAGACAAACAACCACCCATTAATCTAATTCAGTCAATTGATTATCATTATTATATTTTCAGAACCCCCAGATTTCAGAATTCGCTCCCCACTGAACTCAGACAAATTCTCTAGCTTCTTTTAAATCTCTTCTTAAATATGTTTTGTCTTATAAATGCTTTAACAAATGAATGACACCAATTGATCAAATTATTAATTTATATGATTCTATTTCATTGTTCTACTTTATTTGCTCATTCTCATTGTTTCTTCCCACTTTGAGACAATGTTAAGAAAAGTGCTATTTGAGTAAAGTTCATTATCATTTTTAACTTATTACTCATTCTGTAAAGTCCACTGTAACAAATGAGTTATTGTGTTCAGAACATACCATCCTTGGTCTGTGTCTCTAGTGCGGTGATGCTCTGCTCTGTGTTGAGGTCGTAGAGCAACGTCTCACCACCGTCGAATGACACCACTACCTGGTTGGGGTCAGTAGCCACAAAGGCCACTGAGGTGGGTGTTCCGTGCTCTGGAAGAAAACAGGAGAAGATAAAAGTGTTGTGGCATGGACGCAAAAATGAAAGGTCAAACATGAATCCACACACTGAGCACAGATGTCTACCTCTTTCCTTATTGAAGACAGACAGGCAGGGAGCTGAGTTCTGAGGGTCCCAGATGCGAATGGTGCCATCGGCCGAGCACGAGGCAAGACGATGGTGAACTGCTGAGTGAGTCAGACCCCATACGCTGTCTTCATGACCTGCTAGTACACTGCTCTCGATGCCAGGATCTGGACGCACAAATGCACATAAAACCATAATATTAATAGGGATGTTATTGTTACTTATAATATATTCAGTTGGGAGTGACTGACCATAGTTATCATAAGGATCCACATTGAGGTCTGGCATTTTCCAACACCTGACGGTTCCATCTAGACCTCCGCTGTAGCAGGAGTCTCCATCCTCACCCATGGTCAGTGACAAAACAGCTCCACTGTAAAAACACACGAGGCATCTCCGGTCAGTGACAGGTTTGAGCACAAGGTGTGAATTTGTGTTTGTGTCTCAGGCTCACCTGTGCGCTCTGAATGTGTAGATGGGCTCAACATCTAAAGCTGCGTTCCTGTGGAGGGACACGGCTTTTTTTTATTTGCTTCTCATTTCCTTTAACATTTGTGCATCCTAATACTAAATTCTTCATTCTCCATTTTCCTTGTGGTTCTTACTTTTTAGAGTGCATGGCCTTGTTGAGATTCCATAGTTTTAGTGTTCCGTCCTCGGAGGCTGTGAGCAGCACCGCTTGGCTGGGGTGAAAGGTCAAAGCGCGGATGGCGTCAAAGTGGCTGCGTAGTGTGAAACGGGGGTTCCATGTCTTCTTAAACTCCTCTCTGTTGTCCTGCATCTGATACATTAAAAAACAAACATTAATGAGTTCTGAGTGAACATATGCAGTCTCGATTAAATCTGTGGATTGACCAGAACAACTTGTATAATTACATCCATGGACAGATCGTTGTCATTGGCAACAGTGAGATCAGCCAGTTCACCAAGGTTCATGTCTCCTCCTCCAACAGCATCCATGATGAAGACATCAGAGGAGAAACCCAGGGCGCCACCTGGAGGTTGGAGGTGGAAAAGCATAAAATACTAATGCATCTTGACAAAAGTGTCAGGCCCCTATAAATAAAGAGTCTATCTCTCCTGCAGCTTTACTCCCACACTTTGTTCCAAAGGAAATATTTATAAGTTTAGGAGAAACTTTGTGAAAGTCCCCCCACGCAAGATTGAACGTCTAAGCTACTCTCATGCATTGTAGGACACAGATGAGACTGAGGGAGAATACTTGGGTGATGAAGGACTATCATTTGCTATGGGATATATTCGGTGGGGAAGTCTTACCTTCTCCAGGGCGAGCCTGTCCCGAAACAGAAGGGGGCGGGGTAGGTTTAGGGGGGAAGTCCGACATCATGCCTTGTAACTTGTTCCTGCGGTTCTCTGAACCCGGCAAGAGGAGAGAGACACAAAACATCCAGTCATGCAGAGAGGCGGAGGAAGAGTGGAGAGGCCGACAGATGAAACACAGACGAATGTAGACGGAGGCAAGAGGATAGACTTTAAGAATTCTTTAAATACATGACACACAAATAGAATTTTACAGCTTCTTTTCTTTTAAAGGGTGAAATCAATACAAGTGCAGGGCTACAGTGTAAATATGACTCAGAATGAAATGTGGAAGTGTAAAAAGAGAAGGCAGCATGCGCGGTAACCTGTGAAATGACCCCAACAGGAAATATACCTAGAGACAGAGATGACAGCTACACAGCGAAACAGGACAGAGAGACAGGTGGTTGGGAAAAGAAGCTGGTTTTATTGACAAGAAGAGATGCCAGGACACAATGAGAAGTAAAAGATAAAAAGGTGAGCAAAAGGGGGAGGGAGGGGAGGGCAAGGACGACAAATACACTGGTGGCAGTGATTCTGGCAGTGCTGGTGCTGATGGTGTTGCTATGGCAACAGCGTACCTAACTCCCGTCCGTCCCCCGAGATCCGGGCCTCTCCCGCCCCCTCCCCATCCTCCCCCGAGCCCAGGAAGTCGAACTCTCCGAGGGCATCTTCCGAGTCGTCTTCGTCCTCCTCGTCCTCTGGGTCAAGGTCTGTGGTCATGGGCTCTGTACCCATCTGGACACGGGAACAGAGCAGAGAGTGTGGTTTAGTGGACGATAAGACATGAGTGTAGCTTATAGTTTTTCTTTGAGTTCCACTGAATGTTGTTTCTCAGTCGTCGTACCTTTACACGTGACTTTTTGTTTTTGCGCGGTCCATCGATGCAGTCAGTGGCCATGCCCTGGAAGTCATCTTCCTCGTCGCTGTCGTCTTCGTCATCATCTTCGCAGCCATGCAGGAAGGGGATCTTATCCAGCACCGAGCCACCCGGACGTTCCTTAGAGCTTTCCTTGTCCGCTTTCCTACAAAACAGTTCATGTTAACTTGAATGAATAAAAAGATTATTTAGGACAATAGCTAAAGGTGTGATGATCTCAGGCTACATCCATAATATCACATTTACATTCTGCATCAGTATTTATCCCGGTCCATACTCACACAACTGAAAATGCATATCATGTGACCATTCATGTACATTAGGCACGTGTTTACCAGTGTAAACAGGAAGCAGATTATCTACTCTGCATTTGGTTGCTTGGTTACATAAACTACAAAGGAGACAGCAATGGTGAAAAGTAAGACAAGGTATTTCTTTTTAAGACCAAAGACAAGGTGAAATGGTTACTGACAGTCAGTGTTAATGTTTTGCCCTCACCGCTGGTAGTCAAGTAGTGACCAATCAGGAAGCCAATGCACGTGACTGTCACTGTTGCTGCCTATCCATACTAAACACAGCCCAGCAGTTTTCAAAATAAAACAGGGTCTGCTGCGTTTCCAAACTTCTTGAAAACAGTAGGCGTAAATGTAGCACCATTGATGCATAGTAGTGTGAATGTAGTAGTAGTTATTCTGTTATTATTAACACCATATGATTAAAGGTTTCCTCAATTATACCAGTAAAACACCCTGTTGAAAATCAGGTTTAGGTGACGTCAAACTCTACTCTGCTTTGAGTGAGCTGTCTTTGTCAGAGCATTAATTATCAAAAGCTTTAAGTATGGTCTGTGTACAGTATTGTGTGTGCTCTAAATTCACATGGATAAGTTTAACATATTCAGTCATTTCTGTGAATAGATAATCAGATTGGGGCATGGTGAGTAAATTAGGCCACATCTTATAAAGGGTGGTACTAGGCTGAAAATATATGGCATTTGACATTTAACATCTGATGACAACTGCACCGCATTAATATCTATATGTGGCAAAAGATCTGATGCATCATACAAACTGTCATCAGTGCAGAAGCAGCAATGAGAGTCTCACCTCCTGATTTGTTCCTCTATCTGTCTAGCCAACAACGACTCCCACCCTACCCGGGGCTCAGGCTCAGGGCAGGTTTCACTGGCTGGGGGTCCATTCGCCTCTGGGCTGCTCCGCCCGACCAGGGAGCGCACACGCTTAGACCTCATGTCCAGGATAGTGTCTGAATAACCTACTTCCTCCAGGTATCTACAATCACAGTTAAAAGAAGAGCACATCGATAAACAAATGAATCCCTCTAGTCTAGATCCCACATTAAAAGCAATGATTGAACACATTATTATTGCAATGAGATAAAAGGAGAGGATGATGGAGAGGTCTTACTTGCGTAATAGCTGACGTCCCTCCTTCCAGGACATCTGATTGACTGGCTCAGCGTCTGACTCAGCGGGCCCATTGGGAACTACAGAAAAAGATGAAGTAGTGATGCAACAGCAGGGCATGAGCAGAAAAAGCAGAAGAGGGCAACAGCAGTAGATGGTATAACATTTCTAAATAGCAGCTTAGAAAAATTTTGGTAAAACATACGCTGGTCTGCCTCTGTCTCTGGTTTCTTGTCTCCTGGACTCTGGTCATTTCCTGTCTTCAGCTTCTGGTGCTTTGCCCTGCAACCCCACAAAAGACCACAGGAGGGCGGCATTTTAGGTAAATACTAGAATGAAGTCTATGGCTGAACCATTAAGATGGTTGAATAGATAACAGATGTGAGGAGACATTTGGGAGAGTTCCTGATATTTGTCGTACCTCTCTTGTTTGAGGGCGTACTCTAACATTTTGATCCGCCTCACCAGGTCCTGCTTCATGTTCTCCTGCCCTTTCCTCTCACCCTGTAGGAACGCCACCTGAGCCTGAAACACAGACACACATAGGATGGTGAGGAACTCAACCTTCAAAAAAAAAAAAACACACACAACCACACAAATTCACATATACAAGCTGCAAATCAATTGATATGGATGTTATGTCTCAGCCATAACTGAGGTGAAGCATGTACTGGCTCAAATTAAAGGTAAAAAAGTCAAAACTAGGGCATGTGATATTATCAGAGATCACAAGGAAAGACTGTGAGCTTGAAGGAAAAAAAAACAGCAACCATGACTTCTGAGAACCCAGGAGTAAATAGAGGGTTGTGGAGCAGAGCTCTTATTTTTAACTTCTCCAAACCAAGGCATCTGCAGGAGAGGAAAAACAAGACACACCGGCCAAATTCAAATACCCTTTTTTAAAGACATATCCTTCCTCTGTCTGCTTCCGCTCTCTTTTTTACATCCGTTTCCTTCCTCACTGATAACTGGTACCTTGAGGAAATAGATGTTCACAGCCCATTCTAGTCATTTGTCAAAGAATTAAAAGTTGTTTTTTTTTGTCAAAGGCGATGCCTCAAAAACTGTGAACCGTTGAGTAAAACTTTGATTCAAAAGCTCCAGCGTACCGAAAAATGCACAAATAATTAAATGTAGAAATACATAATTACATGTTCAAATGAAGAAATAAGTTCATGCATTTATTCATCAACAAATGTAGAAATACATAAATTGTATTTATTTTTTCATTTATTTATGTATTGAATTATTTATTTCTGCTTTAATTCATTTATACTTGTCATTTTTTTGTCCTTCATACCTGCCCTCTGTTGGCTGAGGGAGAATTATGCCCCAGAAAATATCCCAGTTTGAAAAAGGCTAAAAAGACCTGACTCTGTTTCTTCTCTCAGGATTAGCATGCAGGTGATAGTGAGGACAACAGTTTTGTATTTCCACTCTCTATCTCTCCTCCCTCTGTGCCGAGGGCTGCTGGAGCACTAACGCTGCTTGTTTTACAGTCCATTTCTCCCATGCACGCCCCCCCTGTCAGAGTCCACGAGGCTGCTCCCACACGCATACGCAGTTCTGTAAAACTAGAACAGTCTAAAAACACTATCTCATGGGGCAAGCACTCGGTCTACTTGAAAGGGTAGTCATCATCCAGGAAAGCGAGTATGTACACACACACACTCACTCATGCAGACTCATACACTCACACACACTCATGTAATCAGCTAGGAGAGCAAGGGAAGCTCAGGATAATCTGCCGAGCAAACCTTACTACTGCTGCTGCTGAGTAATCCTGATTAATGCAATGTGATTTTATATGCTAATCTCAGAATTTTGGAGATGATCGTCAACCCCAGCATGTCAACACTGCAGACGTCATCTAAGAAGTTGTGAACTACAGATAATTGTATGTGGTTTATACTTGGCCTAATGTAAAAGGGCCAGCTCAGTGCTTGTAAATGATCCAAGGCCATCACAATGAGTAAAAAGGAAAATTAACTGTGTCTGTAGAGCAACAACAGTACAGACTGAAAAGGAATGTATTCAATCAACATGCGAGCATGACACAAAACACAAACAAATCTGTTCAGCCTTGTGTGAATGAAATAATATACAGTATAATTTGCTGTGGTTAGGTGGTTTATGAAAGCAGCTGGCACAGGGTTCACTGCAGCAGCAGCGAGCAGAGTATTTCCAGCTACACACAAGTAGTAATAGTTGCATGTTGTGTTTTGTAGTGGTAGGTGCACTAATGTATTTGAGTATTCCACAGAAGCAAAAAAGGTTTGTTCCAGGCTGACATAATAAAACATAAATACTGTCGTGAGCACTGTGTATAAGAGCACAAGGTTCAGATATCAGAAAACTGCATGTGTTATCCTGGGTACACAGACTAAAAAATCCAAGCTCACATTAAATAAATTGACTTTATTTTCTTTCAATAAGCATAACATTCAAGCGTGTCCTAGCATGCAGATGTATGGCTGCTAGCTTTTCACCTTGCATTTAGTTCTTATGGAGGTCTAATCTGTCCTGAAGTGAACAGTGATTCAGTCGCTTAGCTTAAAAACAAACAAACAAACCTTATTCTGAACTAAATCCTTTGAATCAGCAGTTCATCATTTCCACCTCTAAATGGAATGTGTCTTTGTCACCCTTAAGGGGCAGCCCGTGCGTTTATACACCTCCTCACACAGACGAGCTACGACCTGCTCACACACACTCACACACACACACACACACACACACACACACACACACACACACACACACACACACACACATCCCGCCCTTGTGTTCCAGACAGTGTCATGTTGTGTTCCTGGAAGGACAGGTTCCCACTAGTGCCCAATACCTCATCACTGACGCTACTTTGTTGGCCAACATAGAGACGAGGTCACGCACAGTTTAAGAACAGTTTTCTCCTGACAAATAAAAGTAGCCAAAACAGAGGGATGAATATGTCAGTTTACAGTTGTATGTGATATCTATTATTTGGCTTTGACCTTGTTTTACTTACCCTTCTTTTCTACAGTATTTCTCTTTGAGAGGCTCAGTGGGCAGGAAGAGTGGATTCATTTACAATAGCAAACATTTGGCCCTCTTAGGGACGAATACAGTTTTGAGTGTGTGGGGAGGTGAAACTGTTTCATCAGTCTAATGCAGTTAATTAAGGAGAAGTCACCTCAACTTTCATTTGCCTTGTTATTCCGTCCTTTGCCTGGTTCAGACGGGAACATGCTTGTTTTCACTGAGTGTGTTTGATCCGGGCCAACATAAATGAGACAAGGCCCATTCACTGGCTATTAAATGTGTTGCGAGTGAACCTGTCGTGCCATCTGATCTCTCTTTCCTGTGGGTGGGTTTCGCTCCATGTGGCCTACTCCTGCTGACCTTTTCAGTTTGTCACGGCCTGGAATATTTAGCCTATTCTGTCAGTTGCTGCTGAACAGGGTCAAGGGCAGCTTTCCTCCTCGACTGGCCACCCTCCATCTTCTCATCCCTTCATCCCCCTGAGAGAATCTGTGAGCCAACAAGTAGAGCAATGAACTTTTCTGGGACAGCGTGCTTTGATGGTGTGTGTGTGTGTGTGTGTGTGTGTGTGTGTGTGTGTGTGTGTGTGTGTGTGTGTGTAGTATTTATGACATTCCAAAGGTCGGGCTTGCTGCCTATGTTTGGTCTGAAGTTATTTGATAATCAGTGAGAAGGAAAAACTACTCTAAGTAATGAAATTAGTTTCAAACCATGAGATTTCCATAATTTCAGTGAGTGCAACAAAGCAGAGAAAATTCTATATACAGAAAAAAGAAAGGTAAAATATAAATCTATAAGCACAACAGGAGTGCTACAAGTCTGTATGGGTGGGAGGCATGTAATAATAGATTACATATGGATGTCATATGTGCGTCATGGCAGACAGCGCAGAGTTTCTAGTTAGAGATGTGCACCCAGGGGCCCCCTGGGCCACACTCATCAGGAAGTGATGTCATCTGGGTCACCAATAAACTTTTCTACACTGAAACGGTTAATACAATTGAATCGCTGGAAATGAGAAAGATGCAGGAAGCGGCAGGTAAAGGGGCAGACCTTTACCTCTCTTTGTTGAATAAGTGCAGCTTAGTCCGATTGCCTATTAAATTATAATGATCATTATAACAAGCTAATTATTACAGGCAGAGCTGTGCGGTGTGGTGTCTGAAGGACAGAGGGACGAGGCCACTGCCACCTGTCCCTGTGCTGCCGTCCCACGGTCATGCTGGGACGTCCCACCTGGCCCGGAGCTGGAAAGGCCTTAATTCCAAGCCTGTCACTGGAGACATAGCACCACAGGTGGCCTTTTACACCAAAAACACACTAGCAGACGGCACATGTGTTACAGTCTCACAGACATTCACACTGCCATACTCATAAGATGATAGTGTTGATGTCTGTTAAACTTTGGTGATGGTTTTGCAGCTGCTGAAATGTTTCTTGTTCAGCTTCCATGTTTGTTGTATAAATGCCATAAAAGCATAGCATGTCATGCAAATGTCACATATGACCAGGCTATACTGTGAACACATGTACAATGTGTTGCCAACTTTACAGAAAATGACCAGGGGGTACGCTAACTGGCATGTTGAGAGCCCTGCAAACAGGCTGGCAACCAAAGCCACAGTCTTTGTGGCCTGTGGGTGTTAAAAATGTAAGCTGGGTCAATTTTTCAGCCTGGAACTCCAGCAAGCTTCTCTTTCCCTCAGCACAGGACATGGTGCTAATTGTGCCTGTGAAATCAGACCATGTGCAGTAAATGCGCAAACGTAAATAAAGTTTCATAACAGGCACTAATGGCGTGTTGGATATGACGATGACCTGCTTTTGACTTCTATTCCCACTCTCATCCCGCATGCGCCTATAAAAGCAGAGAGCAGAGCCGGTTTGTTATTGTTCATTGATATTTTATCAAGGTCCTATTTATAACTACATAGGTTTGAGATGGGGCAAAATGAGGAGCAGAGTGACAGCAGAGAGGCAATGTTATTCCTGTATCTGTGGTTTCATCAGTCTTAGAGGAAGAAAAGAAAACATATGAGTTAAGGTAAATGTTGAACTGTTCTTCATCTCAAACGCAGAGCGAAAACATCCTGGTATGCTTGTTTTCCTAACCTTTCTTAAGCCTGGAACAATTTGATGAGTAAGCACAGTCTTGCCCAGCAATGCTCAGAGTCACAGATGCACACATGCATATAGGACAGCTGCATAGTACCACCTCTGTTTTCTGCTGCCCAAATAACTGGAGCTATTAGAGGACTCATGCCTTGCTCATTGTCATTTTCTATATCATTGACCCACACATTCATGTGGGTATTTTGTTTGTGCCATTTACGATCACTAGCCCACAACTCCAGCCAAAAAGATTAGCTGTACATAGGATGGTACTTAAACTAAGTCAAAAAAGCATTAATTATAGTGAGGAATCGCACCGCGTTACATAGATATCAGTCATGTTCAAACACTGCAACGCTGATTCATCCGCCTGAGTGTTGATTTCCTTCCAATGCCACAAGCTATACAATCACGCTCCTTTACAGCAATGAACTATCCATTATGATTACGCCTCAGAGACCTTCATCGGAAAGGATTGTGCTGTAAAATGGCATTTAGTCCAAAAAGTGCAAGCTGTCTGCCCATGTTCAAAGGTCACCCTGAGCACCGTCCTTTACTGTGTCTTTTTGTGAATTCAAAAACAGAAATACCCTCAAACTACCCCTCATTTTACAGCAGCCAGTGCTTCTTCCTCAAGCAAGGCCACCACTTTGACAGCTCTCAATGGCTGCCACAGTCGAATGCAGTGATTGTAACAGGGACCTCAGAGCTGTGAGACACTGCTGTTTATCTTTTAACCACAGCAGCTCAACCACAGATCACTTGATGTGTGAATGTGTGTTGTAAAAAACTGATTTCTGTCAACTTACAAAGCATGTTCCCATTCAAATGCCCCCTGAAAAAAGACTTTCTTGAATGGAGTCTGGTGCAGGGAAGTGTTTGATGTATACCTGCACAAATACAGGGAAGCCACACCTAATGACATATTACTTATCCTTATTTCTTATCAGCAATTACTTCCGCAGGCTGACAAAAACGTAGATTGCATCTTAGTTTTGTGGTTTACATCTTTGTTAGTGAAATATAATTGATTATATAGAAACCCAGAGGCCAAATTGCATGGATGATGGTTCCTGGAAATAGTTTATTTTCTGTTTAAAGTTAGCTGCTGGATGTTTGGGTTTTTTGATCAGCATTAGCTTTTTCAATGTACTCTCTGGTAATAATAGATCCTATACAGTATGATAAGATGTTAGCCCGTTAGCATGTTGTCATCCTGACTGTAAGGCATGTGTACAGTCACAAAGCGACACTGTAGCAGCTCCTGTGTCACCACTGGCCTGTATTCACCTTCACGCAGGCTAAATAATCGACAGATTTACCCTGAGTTCGTCTCTCTCCGCCTCCCAGCGGTATTTCTCGGCCTGGAAGCGTCCCCACTCGTACTGGATGAAGTGCAGGATCCCAGGAAGCGTCATACCCGAGTCCCCGTCCTGCAGCTCCCGGGGCTGCGACGACCCGGGCATCGCTCCAGCTGCTGCCGCCGCCGCCGCTGCCATCGCCCCGGTCCCCGCGGCTGATGTCGCCTGGCCCGGTGCTGATTTGGGCCCGTTTGGGTTGCGCCCCGCTCCGCTGCTGCCGCCGGAGTTCGGGTTTGGTCCTCCGCCGGATCTGTCCGCCTCCATTTTAACCGTTCAACGTCTCGCCAGGATAAGGAGGTGGAAACGGGCCGTGTGCGAACAATAATAATAAAAACAACCACTCGCCCGCAGCCTTGTTCTCCCCCTGGTGCGCTTCACTACCACACAGCTCCTTTCTTCCTCCTCGCACGCACCGAGCTAAATTACTATTCACTCAGAGGAACACTACACTTCCGTTACCCACACCTTCACAATAAACCCCCACCACACTACATGTTTGTCACATCACGACCTGTTTAGTCACAAATGTGCTGTGAATTATATAAATGATTACATGGACAAATTAAGCGTCCAAATACAGAGACTAAATACATGTCGCGTGTTGAGATTTAGCGTGCGACTCTTATTTTGTAAATCCCGGATTAGCTTCCTCCTCCCTGTGTTCGATGTTGGAAATGTCCGGAGTGCCTGAGAAATAAAGATCCGGGTGTTCCGTGATACACAATCACTGTGTCGCCAGGGCAGTCGACTTCCTGCCATTTAGTGAGCAGTCATGTTTGAAGGACAGTGAAGGGGCCAGGAATTATCCCCAACCTCGTTTCCGTTTCAATGTATATCAATAACAAGTCCACATCTTTTGAGGCATGGTTGCAGGCAAGCCAAGTTTAGTTTCAGATCTAGCAACAGTGAAACTAATATATCAAATTTAAATTTTGACATTAATATTAATTAAGTTAACAAAGTTAAAAAAATAGATCAGAATCCAAGCACACATATTCCTGTACAATGTCTTCATGATTTCAAAAACCTGAAACCTTTGCAGTTTGGGACACTAAATACAAGAGTGGTTTGAGGACACATTATTAACCCACGTTAGAAAATCAATCTTTATTTAGACTATTAATCTGTACTTTCTCGTTTTTAACCAGCTGGCTATGAAGTACTGGACACAAAAATGCAGGGCAGACACATACGTATATGTGTATAATTAAATGACGTAGCGTACAATGAATTGCATTACAGATGCCTAGTGTAAATTTACTGCAGATATTTGTAAAGGGGTAAGAATTAATAAAGCAAGCATCCACTTCATCTTATTTTCTGGATGTTGGCTACAATTGTGATATTTTATGACAAATTTCCTCTCATTTTTAAATGTTTTTGAATGCAGTTGTAAATTTTATTGGTTTGTTTAACAGGGAAATTTGCTCTACCGGAGCCAAAGTTAGGCTGTATTCAACCTGAGCAGAAGTTACACCCTGAAAACAGAATGTGGCAATAAAACATTGAAATCAAAGTCATCAAGATTATTTATGACAAAGAACAATTTTATTATTTATTTTATTTTATTTTATTTTGTAGTCGTGGAGCTTTTATTCTGTAGGAGTAGTAGCAGAAGTCCTCCTCTCGCAGCTGCACACACGGACATCATGGACGGATCGTACAGTCGGTTTCATGGCTGATCATGTGTCTAGTCACACTGTAATGAAATGTTTTGAAGCGATTGAACTGTGGGGGTTTACCTGTAAAATGCTGCAGAGTCGATTTCAACCACAGCCTCAGATATTATCCAACGATGCAGGTTAACATGTGTGTGCGTTGCTCCTGACCCAGCCTGGTTTTGCTCCTCTGCCACCGCAGCTGACTGACATGGACCAACAGGAACAGTGCAGGTGAATGGACTTCACGTTAGTAACATGGTGAATGGATGATTTGATTGGCTGCTTAGTGTAAGTGATTGAGCTGAAGAGTGAAACAGAGACATTCAGAATTAGGTGAGTTGTAGTCATTTTCCCAGGTCTCCGTTCACTGGTGCTGCAGCCAGTCATGTTTTATTTATAAAATGAACCCATGTATGGAGTGAGGTCTTTTTTCACTTTGACATTGAACTGATTATGATATCAGGGTAGTTTGAAATGCCCTGTGTGCCATGGTATTTTATACAGGTATGTGCAGACTGTATCAGCATGTGATATGAAGCCGTTTAGGGATAAACTTCACTTGCACATACAAACAAACCGTCACGCAAATACATATATACACAAAAATATACAAACATACATCATTTGCACATACCTGTACATGCATACTGTCATGCAAATACATACATATACATAGATATACTTGATTAACACGTGCATGCAAACTGTCATGCAAATACATACATATAAACATGCATGATCACAATCACCACAACATATTAAGTGTTTTGTGTCGTTAACAGGTTTTCGTCAACTCTCATCGCTCCATTATGAGACTAATGGAGCACTAAGCCCCCTGCTGGATTTCTCCATTAAATTTAGCTCCTGAGAGAAACTGGAAGGTAAACGCTATTTGCCATGCGTATAAGTTTCTGCCAGGGCCTGTTATCTGGCGCCATCATTCTCAACCTCCTCATACTCTACTATGTGTCCCGGGCCCAGCAGCAAATGATGGAGAAGAGGAAGGAACTTGGTAGGGGCACGAGGAGGGCCGCCCTACCGGCCTCTGGTCTTGGGGGAGGCCTAGGGTTACTTGTAGGAGCTGGAGGTGAGCCCGGATTGGTCGGGGGGGAGGGACACAATCGTGGCCCACGTGTGACGGTTCTTCTGCGGGAGTTTGAAAACTTTGAAAATTACGTTGGGGATGTGGCCAATTCCTTCCTTCGCCAGAGGCCTGAGCTTCCTTTCCTCGCTGTGGCGGACACACCTCCGTACCCTCCATTGGTGCTCTCAGAGGGGGCTCGGCTTCTAGTGCTCTCCCCCAGCCCAGACCAGCCTCCCCAAGCTCACAGGCCAGAGTTCCACGTCCAGACAGAGTTCGTTCTGCTGGTGCCCGATGGGGTGGAGCTCGAGCAACCTCGGGCTATAGAGAGGCTGATCAGGGAATTGGAGGGTGAGGGTGGGGGGCCCGTGAGACTGGTGGCTGCACCGGTGCTGGCTCGATCTGCTGTGCAGTGTCTCCACCTGCGGGTGAACCTCAGAGAGTGGACAGCTACTTACTCTCCAGCGGCGTCTGGGAGCAGTGGTAGTGTGTGCACGGCTTTACAAGGAGATGCTGTTGTCCTCATTCGAACTGAGGATCTTTTTAACCTCTCTGTCCCTTTGGGGCGGCCCCTCTTTTCCTCACTCTTCGTTCAGACTGCTTTGAGGGGCTGGAAGGTCAAGCTGCTGGAGAGCCCCTGTTTCTCTGCAAACCACCGGCCCCTCTTCAGCTCAGCTCACAACCAGTGGAAGGCCGACACTCGGCTGAAGGAGGCCACTGGGAAGCTCATGAGGAGCTTTGGTCTCAGGCGTCTCCTGCTGTCTGATGGGAAGGAGCAGTGGTACGGCTGCAGCAAAGAGACACCTCGTTGCTTTGGCACTGTGCAGGATGACACTCCTGACTACCTTTATCTGGATCGATGGACTCCTCCCTGTTGTCTGCGAGCGCTCAGGGAAACAACCAAGTATGTCATCAATATCCTCGAGAGTTCGGGTGTGCGCTACTGGCTGGAGGGGGGGACTCTGCTGGGCGCCATTCGCCATCAAGACATCATCCCGTGGGATTACGATGTGGACCTGGGTATCTACCTGGAGGACGTGCCCAACTGCGATCACTTAAAAAACCTGGACTCGGGCTCTCTTGTGGACGCTAACGGCTACGTCTGGGAGCGCGCGGTGGAGGGAGACTTCTACAGAGTCCAGTACAGCGAGGCTAACCACCTGCACGTTGACCTGTGGCCATTCTATCCGCGCAACAGTGTCATGACAAAGGACACGTGGACAGAGCACAAACAAGACGTTGAGTTCCCAGAGCACTTCCTGCAGCCGCTGATCCCCATGACCTTCGCTGGCATCACTGCCTATGGCCCCAACAATCACCGGGCCTTCCTGGAGCTGAAGTTCGGAGAGGGGGTGATCGAGAACCCCCAGTACCCCAACCCTTCAAAAAAGAGGCTGGACAGGAGCAAATTATGAGACTTACTATGTTGTGAAACTCAACATCATTTTTTTTTAAAACAGCATATGAGAAGATACCTGAAAATTCATATGGTGCCACAATGACTGACTGACAACTGTACCAACTGAAAACTGTATAAACACAATGTCTGGTCTGATTCTCTCATTATTATTTAAAGCCTGACCGATATGAGCTTCTCCGATATCAGTATCAGTTTTTATGTTTGTCGATTTGATACAATACAGAAAATATGTGCATTTACATTAGCAATTGTTTATTTTTATTATTTCACAATTTTCTGAGTTGTATTTGTGTTTTGTTTTTATTTATAGTATTTATTTATAATAAAGTTTAAGGTTAAACTGTAAAATATCAAGCCTCAATTTCTTTTTTTATCACAAGGGGTCGGTAATGTCATAGAAATCACTACTACTATGTCAGTCGGGCTCCTCTATTTTCATAGATGTGAGGTCTACCACTGGATTGCCTTTTCTTTCTTTGCGCTGACATCAGTTCCTTAAAGAGAAATCTCTTTCCTACATGGTGCACTACATCTGGACATGTTGCACACTGAATTATAAATATGAGTGCTGTAAAGATGATACATATTTCTAAATTAAACTGACATGACGTTATCTTCAGCAGAATTTAAGGTATTTAAGGAGCTTCGGTGTTTTATACGTTTCTTGACTGTGTTGCATTGTTCTGCACTGGTTATTTCCATTTTCAGTTTTGCTCTGTTAATGAAGGAATGTAATGTGAATGCTATTTTGGTACCGGACAACTATAGTGCGGTGAGTAAGTTAACCTGTGGTAAAATTAAAACACACTCATACATCCTGTTATTGTTGGCATATGGTGTGGATGACATGTTGCACCATTGGGCGACTGAATTTGTAAATCATTAGTGACAGTTTGCTCAGTTATGTGTGTAACTACTGAGCACGTATTATGTATCGACTGAAATTAAATTTTAAATCACGAAAATATTCAAATAAATCATTTTAAATGACATACAACCACCTGCTCCTCCAGGTTCCACATGATTACTGTGGTGTTGTTATCAAGGTGTCACTTCATTTCATGAATTGGTCAAATAAATGCATCTGAACTGTGTGATTTGTTTGCAATCGCGCCTGGAAATGTTTTTGACCACTAGGTGGCACAACATGCCTGACTGGTCTCCTTTGTAACTCCTAAGCTCTCTGCAGTAAATAGTTTCTATCCCCACTGTCGTCAGCATTATGGGAGTTCCTCAACCATATGGCAGGGGCCCAGGTGGTGGAGGATTTTATAACAGGACAAACAGGAATGTCACGTTACAGCAGCGCAGCTCACTTCTTTGTCAAAGACTGATCCCAGCAACGTGGACTGTTTCTCCTCTATCCAAGTCGCGCACAATCACTGCCATTAATAGCTGCCTTTCACTTGGTGGTGCAGAAATCAGATTCCTTACAGTGTATTTCTTATTAATGGATAAACAGGATCATTCATACTGTACCTGGCCTGGTAATTTGATACGTGTCTATATGACTGAGAGGCCAAAGTATGTGTGGCTATTTTTGGAAGCAGAAACATAAAGGCTCTCAGTCATTTAAAATATGTCACCTCTGGAGATGACAAAGCCACAGAGTTAGGTATGCAGCCAGTGTAATTAGTGATTTTATTACAACACTTTAATTATTTGCACTATAGCAAAGTAGCCAGAGCCCACGTACAAGACAATGACAGACAAGGGTTCCCAAAGATAGTTGGGATAGTTCATGATTGTTGATTACTGATGGGTGAAATAAGGGCACCATTTTATACAACATATTAAGAAACATTTAAACACAATATTGTAACCAAGAGACAAAACTGCCACATAATCAAAACTAGAATATCACTTAGTGAAGCACACACCTCTGCCAAAGACAATCGATCCTATTTGTCTTTTTAAGTCAGTATTTCACCATTTCCTGAGAATATGACAAAAATGTCAAAAAAGGCTCCATCTTGAAACATTAAGGAAAGCAATTCATTTGTTTGCTTGATCAATCCTTTAACTGAAACTCTAAATTTAAATGGGTCCTACCATGGCCCATGTCCCATCCGTTTACCTGGTTTTGCATAATCCTGCTGATAATCAGACAAAGGTGAAAACAAACCCTCAGTTGTGGAGGTAAAAAAAGGCCTTTATTGTTTTAAAACCTACAGACAGTACATTCTGATTGTATCCTTATTTGAAACATAGCCCCACTGTAACAAAATCATTACCAACTACCACACACAGATACGCAACAATATGATAGAATCAGACGTCCACATGGTAAAATATCTCAGAAAGGAATGATAACATTTTCACAACCCTGTACTAAAACAGCAATGCTTCACATTTTAGCACTAATGACCAACACCACTTTAGAAATAATAAGACCTTACTTAGGCTTGTGATGAAGTTACAGGTGACCGTTTTGAGATATACCGCCAAACTAGTATCTCATAAACTTAGCACCTCAAATTTAGTATCTTCATTCGGAGCAGTTACAGATGATGCAAGTTTACAATTCTTCATTCATGAGCACATGACACTTTCTCCAAGGACTTAAGACCCACTGCAAAAGGAAAATCACCACATGGAAGCCACCGTGTTCACACAGGCTACACTCACCCACAAATAGGACAACAATGAACATAAAAAAATAAATAAAATAAAATTGGAGTTACTATCCTCTCAAAACTTTGCCCTCTTTGGAATTTGATTATAGAAATAAATATGATTATCAAACATTTAAGACCCTTACAGCCAAAATGTCAACAGTTTGAAATGCTGCTCTGACGACGGGGAGACATCCTTGCAGTGGAAGGGTTTAGGCTTTTACACTGTGTCGTCACATCTCACTTTTTACTTGTGCAAAATGTCATCAGGAGTTCAACAGCCTCGCTCCGTCAGTGAGTCTGTGCGATATCTTGTTCCTTAGGGTGTACAGATGCAGTTGGAGGACCGTCTTCATTCAAAAGGTGATCCTGAGGTCATGACATCACTGATGTTTTTCTGAGGTCAGCGTGCATGTGTATGTGTATGTGTGTTTGCGTCCATGCACATTGACAAAATGGTCCTTCATTCATCTTTGGGATGTAACTGAGGTTATTTTTTCATTTGGTGTGCTTTGCAGTATAAATATAATCTTAAGAACAGGTTTTACAATTGCATTGATTTTTCCCTGCACCCAACAATTGGCCTTAAATAAGTAAAGTCATAATGAGAAACTAATAAAAAGCCTTTGACCCAAATTAAAAACTATTAAAAAACTCATAAAAAACACATTTGTGCTTGTCATAAAATACCACAGCCATTTTCCTGCAGACTATAAACTAATGTTCTAATTGCTTTTGTCAAATCAGATACAAGACGTTTAAATAGAGCATTAGATAACATTTGCAGGAAAGTGGCTACAATGTGTCTAATAAATGCACAATGTATGTTTATATTCCAAAGATACAGTATAATGATACAGTTTACAACATAAGCAAGCCTTACTGGATATTTTCATACACAGGCACACACAGACACACGCACATGCACGCACACACGCACATGCACACACACACACACACACACGCGCGCACACACACACACACACACACACACACACACACACACGCACGCACGCACGCACGCACGCACGCACACGCACACACTGGCACACACACGGCTAAGGATTCCAGATAAGGAATTTGAATTGTCTTACTCGGTCCAGCAAACTGTATAGTCGTCCTCATCAAACTTACAGTCAGAATTCTTCATGTTTTCCACCGGGAAGTTGATATCAAAAAGGTGAATAGTCACAAACAGAACTTGTGAATAACAATAATTTCCTAAATGCAGTAAATAAGATGTGACACAGCAGTAACAATACACCAATAAGTAACTGCCTCCATGTAATTTCTATTTCAACATCATAAATGATTGTAACATTCCTTATATTTGTAACAACAGATCTAACGTTAGCTGCTACATCTTGCAGGGCATCACTGGTCACATGGTAACGGACTAATAGACTGCATAGAATTCTGACTTTAAAATTGACGAGGACCAACTAAACGCAACATCAGTGTGAGTCAACACAGCAGCTAGACGTATATACATCACTGTCCCTCAAAGTGAAAACCCAAGTAATTGTGCATGATATCGCTTTTGGTTTTCCCCTTCTACACTTCTCAAACACACGACTCCCCAGAAAAGCGTTGAGGACAGAGAGCTTTTGTTTGCATTGTGCCGTGCATGTTCATCCTCTCTGTGTGCACTTCTTCTCTCAGGGCAGGAGGTTAAAAAAAAAAAAAAAAAATTAAATTAAAATTGTAAAAATGGGGCCTGGTTTCATCTTTCAGGAGTGTCACATAAGATAGGTTTTTCTCAATGATATCAGCAGCTGGTTTACATGACTGACTCTTTTTCACTAGACGGCGGTCGCTTCTCACCGTCTCCCCCGTCTCGTTTTTCAATAAGCGGCGAGTGCTCGGGTGCGGCGGCCGACGGTTCGCTTTCCAGCCTGACCTCGCTTAGCTCGGTGCCCTCATTTTTGGCTGTACGGTCAACGAAGAACTGCAGGAGGCCGGCTCCGAAAGCATCACCTTCAACATTCAGCACCGTGCAGGTTCGGTCACTAAGGAAGACATAGCAGATGACAAACTATTTTAGTATGATGATAAATATATGATATAAAATGCATCAGAAAGCAATTAAAACATGATCTCTAAAAAGATTTTGACCCAAAGAGGAACCCGTTAATTTTTGAAGGAATATGGCCAGATCCAGGGATTTTTCATTGCTTTTAAATGTGGCAAGATACAACATTTGCCCTAAAATACAAAAGGTTTTGTACTCACACAAGCCAGTCAACAGCCAGGATGAGAGAGATGTCATTGGTTGGCAGGCCCACTGCTTCCAGGATGATAGCCAGGGTCAACACACCACCAGCAGGTATACCTGCTGCTCCGACACTGGACGCTGTCGCTGTCACACTAATGGAAGGAAGGATGACATTATAAGATTTTTACACAATCATTAAGCTGCATATATATCATTGTACACCATCTATAATTGTATACGATAAATCTGCAACTGTACAATTGGATATAATATGTAGTCCAGTCGTGCAACTGTGGGTGTTTCAGTGTTTGAGGACTCACAGGATGGTGATGATCTGGATGAAATTAAGGGAATAGCCATTTAGCTGAGCGATGAAAACTGCGGCCACACACTGGAAAAGAGCCGCTCCGTCCATGTTGACCGTCGCTCCAATGGGCAGGATGAAACGACTGATGTGCTTGGAGACGCCATTGTTCTCCTCGACACACTTCATCATCAGGGGAAGAGTAGCAGAGCTAAAAACAACAAGAAATAGGAATAAGTGTGTGAAGTCATTATAAATAACTAGATAAAAGAAAAAAGAAAAAAACAGTACAACCAAATATATAGAACTTTGAGAAATTAATATTTCTTACATCAAAACATTTCTTTTCTTCATTGTTTATTTTGAAAAATAAACGTTTTCATATCTGCGCATATTGGCAAACATATGTACCGATATGTCTGTGTGAGGCTCATATCAGCAGATATCAATCAGACAACCAATACATCAGTCTGCCTCGAGTAAACAGCTACGAGTTGTATTACCTGGAACTTGTTCCAAAGGCTGTCGCCAGCGCTGTGAATATCCCCCACAGGAAGGTGTATGGGTTCTTCCTTGTAATGACGAAGTAGATGGCGGGCAGCACAAGTAAACCATGGATGGCATGTCCCACAATACAGCAGGCAATATATTTTCCTAGACTGGCAAACAGCTTGCCAACCTCCTCCATCTCAACGATCTTGCCAGCTACGAGGAACATGATACCAATAGGGGCATACCTAAAGAGAGGCAGGAGGTGCGTACAAGAGAGAGAGGTAAGGAACAGTACAATGCTGTAGAGTAATCGAATAATTCTGGAACACGGCAGAAAGTCTCAAATTGTATTGAACAGAGATTTGTTCTGATCTCTCCTGATCCAGAAACATGCAGGTCTTCCTCACCACATGATCCAGGAGACGAGCACCATGGTGGCCTCGTTGAATGAGTTGAAGAACTTGATGAGGATCTCCCCTTCCTCTCCCAGCTTCCTCAAAGCCACGCCAAACACAATGGCAAACACCACCAGACCAAGAATATTCATCCCATCCTGGTCTGTTCCAATGGGCACCTGAAGACACACACAGAATTTGAGAAACATCCATCAACACCACAACAATACAGGGCTCTATTTTACAAAGAGAATTATATGTGGACAACTGAGTCATTCACCTTCTCCACTGTGATGTTGGGGTTTCCATCAGTGCCATTCTTCGTAACCAGCTTGTAGCTGGTCGCATACTGGGTGGGAAAAGAAAGTGATACACAGTTAGTTTATTAAACTCAGTCATCTTATCTTAACATGCATTGTTTACAATTTAAAACCATAATTATGTAAAAATATAGAATCCAGATCCCATACTCACTGACTGAAAGGCGGCAGACACCAGGTTGGAGGGAAAGATGTTTCTGTGGAGAGAAAAAAGAAAAGAATAATTAAATACTTTCAATTCCTTTGTTCAGTGTGAACCAGATGTCTTGTCAAATGAAAAAACATTGCTGTAATAATAATAAGAAATTAGACACAACTTCTAAGTCCACACTTAAGTTTATAATCATTTCTGATTAACTCTTAGCAGTGAGCTTGTAAATAAAAAAAATAAGAAGAACTATTCATCACACTACTTGCTCTATCACCAGACAGCGGCTATGTCCTCTGCACTTCAGAGATGTTTCAAACAGACAGAATCACAAGGTTGATCATGTGGAAATAGCTGAGAGAACTTAACTATAAATCCCCTGTGCCCCTATTTCTAACACACCCACACACACACAGGGTACGTAGGACCAACTGCACATTAAATCTCCTAAGAACTCATGAAACCAATGTGTTCCTGATACTCAGCTGCCTGTAATGGATTTAGAGTAATAAGGCATTAACTTCACAAGCTCTTTGCAGCCATTCATTAGCTTTCATTGAAACATCATGTGACTGTGACAGGGGAGCAAGCATGCGACAGTGTGCTGAATTCTGGCTGTGTGAAAGAGCCCCATAAGGAAAAACAGAAAAGGGCAGTCAGGCTTTCAAGCGAATGGTAGAGTTTATTTGGATATTCAAATGTGTATTACTAACATTAGTACTATGTCTTTTCAATTGAATGGTACAGTCTGACTAGAGGAAATAATGATTTTTATCTCCATAACAATGCTAGATGAGAAACCGGTCACTGTAATTTACAAACCATTACTCTTGCTCTGTGTGATGCTGCATCCTCCAATGTTTTTTGTGTTCTGGGACATATTATATGAATATTTTAGTGTCTACGACCACAACGCTCTTCAGACCCAGCAGACCTTCACCCATCACTGTGCATTTCCTTTTTCTCCAACTTCATCCACTAACACTTCCTTGTAATTTGTTGCACCTACTTCAGCCCTGGCACAGGTACAATCTAACAGCATTTTCCCTTTAATGAATAAACGGTCACACGTCAGTAGGTGGGTGTGTTTCTTTAATGACAGACTGCTGATTGTTTGAGGCCTGATGCATTGACGTCTGCCCTGCGTTTCCTGGATCTGGCAATAAATGGGGAACGCCTATTGCAGGTCTAAGTGGAATAATATATTTGGTTTCCTGCCTGGCAACAAGACTCAACAGGATGGATGAAAAATATCTTGTCTATGTTGAGTTTGGATCCGTTAAATGATAAAAATGGACAAAATACAGTCCACTAAGCTCACTGCTACCTCGAAGACTTAGGATACTGGCAGGTAATATGTAAACATCTGCTGGAAAGTAATTGTGTCATGCAATTTGCACGGTGGCCCTGAGAGCGAAATGAAGGCAGCAGGACTGCAGCAGGAGAGAGCCATTGATGCTACTAGTGCTCTAGTTCTTATATAGTTTAGGGGCAGGCTATGCTAATGAGGACTTCACTTTGTCATGCATGTCAACTGACAATGACGTTGCGTAGTCCGCTTCACAGGAAGCAAGGAATGCTGTAAAATGGCCTAACTTTGCAATGCAGTACTACATAGTTCACATTCTTCTCACATTTTTTTACTTACTGACATGTATCGCATGTTTAGAGACAAATTACTTTACACGGTCTTCTCAACACATTGAAATAGAAAAAACATCATCAATTTGAAAACATATCTTTGTAAATATAAGAGGCTTTAGCCTCAGGCTTATTATTACATAGCAGCTAATATGATGTTAGCCTGTTTTTCAATAAATTTAGTTAATTGCATTGACTAGAGTTTCACAGTCGTGTCACTTTTTGCTGTCCCCATGGAAACATTTCCGTTGTGTTGCTAGTATTTGGATGCGTTGCATGTGATCGAGTTGTGAGTATTGAGTCAAGTTGTATTTGCAGCAAGTTTTCTGTTTGTGTTGTTAAATTGATGAAGATGTACTGTGTTGACTGCCTTGGGCCACATGTACATTTGTACTGAACCTTACTACTTTCTTGGAACTGACGGCAAACAAGCTTGGTCAATAATTCCACAGGTGACAAGCGCTGACCGATAGCAGTCGCCTGTATATGTCGTCTATTTGGTGTAAAGTGGGAAAACAAACAAAAGTCAGGAGATAAGATGTGTCAACAAGGATGTGTAGGAGCGGCTCCAGTCAGAGTTAAACCCACGTGTCCCCAAGCTGACATGTGGCCTTGTTCTTTAAGAGTGTGTATGACATTAAACAGACTCAGAGTGTGTGTGTGTGAACAATGAGGCAAGCCATTTTTACGCTTTGATGAACAGCTCTTCGGTCAAAGTCCCACAGTGTCTTTTGTGTTCAGAATTAACAGGACACCAACTGCGAGGGCTCGCTCTAATGAGCAGCATGGGTTTTGCCTGCTGTCCTATTAAGATAATGTGATGTGTGCGAATGTGCAGCGGTGGCACGTGTCCTGCGTGGGATAAACATTACTGTCCTCACTGTGAAGCTAAAGATAAATCTGGACAACAGTAGTGGGTATCTTGCATTCAGGGGCACCGGTAAACAACTGTGCTTTTTCATTAGTTCTAGAAATAACACCACTTTTAACACTTTTTTTTTTTTAACCGGCCACTAGCTTGTAGACATGTGTATGTGAAAGCCTCTGATAAAAAGGATACAAAAATGTAAATCTGTTAATGTACACCTTTTGTCTGATTACTGTTGTGTGTGAGTGTGTTCAATCTGGGCAGTGTTTTCAAGAGGTGTTTCCAGGGATAGGCCTGAGGAAGAGGAGGGTGAGGAGGAGGGGGCGTGAAATTCCGGCTTTAATGGTGCAAAATTCCGGTATGTAATGGAAAGCAGAAGAGAGGATTTCAAAAGAAATGCTCAAAATAACTAGGCAGAATTGTGCAATATTCACAAATGAATCAAAAATGCATGAGACGACAAAGACTCAATGTTGATCATGAAGCCAAGTTTAAATCAATCTCAGTGCTTGTCATTGAAATACTGCCTGTAAAACATTACTACTTCTTTTCAAGCTGAACCAGATAAACTGAGCACGGACTAAACCCAAACCGTATTTATACCAAATACAGTCCAGTTTTTAATCTCTTTCAGGGAGAAACATCCCAGGATACTGACTTGCTACTTCTTCCCAACTATTTATTGTAAAGCAGGGCAGGCGTTACACACAAAAAAAGATCTTGCATCATTCAAACCGGTTTTCTAATGTAAAAGGGGATTTTGTCAAGTCACTATTTTTTTCTCTGACTCAATTCTATTTTTTTCTCTGACTCAATTCTTCTGTGAACACTGTTGCCTCATGCAGTTTCTCAGATGAGGTGGGACCAGTCGTCTCATGAACACCTCCTCTGTGAGCTGTTGATTTAAGAAGAAATTATACGGTGGAGCCAGCAGAGGAGTTTATAGCAGCGTGGTGAAAACTGAATATGGTGATTTGCAAGAGCAAATAAGAGGGGTCGACAGGTTTTAAGGCTGCAGAGGCCAACAAATCTGATATGAATGACATTGACAGAAAAAAAAATAAGGAAAGCTCTTCCCAAAAACTGTAGCTCACTTTGTTCCATTATATGATGATAAATAATTTTAGCAACATGACTTTCATCAATAGCAACTGAACAAAGGTTCAATATATATATTGCGAAGGTTTAACACATAAGGGATCTTCCTCAGACATTGAGTGTTTGTCATTCTCTCCTAATAAAGAAGAGTTTAAAACTACAACCTTCACCCTGGGGCTATAAACTTTTTTAAACTTAAAAGAATAATGTGACATTTATCAACATCAACTGATGTGAAAATGTGTATCTTAATATAATTATCTGGGCATATCGTCCAGCTGTATTTCAAACTAATAAAAAACCCTCTGAGAATCGTTAAGTGCTCCCTCAGAGAACAAGATCAACCCTGTGCTGCTCTTATTTTTTACAACACAACTCTCACACACGTGCTGTTGCAACACACACCACGTTTTTGTGTTGTGCAGACAAAATGTGCAATAAAACCACATTCTGAATGGAGTTCAGTGGGTCTGAGAGGACCATTACAAAACAGGATTCCTGGGAAATACCTGTGTCAACTGTCACTTACCCAGGAGCTGAATGACTGAGCTGATGCAACTGTGTGTTGTCGTTACAGCACACGCGCACACACAGACACACAGACACACAGCTAAAGCACACGTGGTCCATACTCAAGTCACATAGACGTATTTAAATCAAGTTAAGTGATTAAATAGACAATGGAGGATGTGTCGCTCACCTGACGAGGTCTAAGAACGAGTCGACCACCTCTTTAGCCGCCGGCACGCTGTCGTCTAAGCCCTGAACCGTCGGTTTCCCGAGGTCCACCGAACCGGGAGTAATAATGAAAGCCATGATAACCCCGATGGACGAGGCGATCAAGGTGGTGACGAGGAAGAAGAGCATCGCCCAGCCTCCCAGTTTGCCCAGGGCTTTGGGGTCGAGGCTGGCCGACCCGGACACCAGGCTGCAGACCACCAGCGGGATGATGATCATCTTAAGCAGCCGAATGAGCAGCTCGCCAGGGAAGCCTATGTAGATGATCTGGGTCTGGGTGAGCGTGGCGTTGCGAACGCCGAGTCCGATAAAAACCCCGATGATGACGCCGGCCACGGTGAGGATGACCAGCAGGTTGGACATCACGATCCGCTTCACCCGCTCGGCCAGCGGCTCGGGGTCGTTCTCTTTGTGGCTGCTCAGTCCGTTGGTCAGCGGCTCGCCGTTGGCTGGCTTTCCGTCCTCCATGTCTATCTTCTCAGCCATTGTGTGCGCACAAAGTTTCCCTGAATTTCCCAACGGTGATTAATTAAGAACTTCGGATTCTGACTGAACCCAACAGAACAAACACCTGAATAAAAAGCTTAAAGATAACTGGATGTCACTTTATCTGACTAACACAGGAGCTTCCCGCTTCCTCTACGCCGATGTGCTGTGCCGCGCTACCGCGCTCTTCGTTTTTCTATCCACGGTTGGATCATAGGGTTGGACACAGCGACTCCTCCCTGTGACGCATGGTGGGTGAGCGGAAGTGCTGTAGATAAAGAGGTTCCATTGCATGTATTAAAACCATGATTAAAACACAATACAAATCACCACGTTTCCTTTAATCAACTGCAGTTATCAGGACCGTGCACATTACAAGGGTTAGGTGGTCAAGCAACCCCTCCCCCGTCACAATTATTCATACAAATAAAGTAACATACACTGGCTTTCAATTAAACATTTATTTAATCAAGTACCCATACACACATTCTTTAATACTCAATAAGAGATTACTACAAAACTATTACTCAACACAGAGATGGTCTTGCATTGAGTACTTCAACATTTATATGTTATGTAGACACAGTCGTCTATGTAAGGCGCGCAGGGTAAGCATCGCCCCTCAGATAATTTTCATTTCACAAGTGACATGTTACCAACATTACAATGTTTATGCCCTTAGCACTTATCATCACCTGCTTGAGACCAATGAGGGCAGGGCAGGGAAAAGGTAGCCATGATGCCATTTCACAGGGTGCTCGATCCACATGCAGAAATTGTAATGACCAGTAATAATGTTAAATATCCTGGGTACGAATTCTGCCATCTTGGACATTTAGTGTCAAAAACTGCACATCACATTTTGGACCATATTCCATCAATTAACATGGGGGAGGCAGGATTTAGGACCTATTTATGCTTGTCATTACAGTGAAGAGAGAACAGAATGACACCAAAGTAAAATACACAGCACCCTCCTCTGTTTATTCCTAAATTTAAAAAAATAAACTGATAAATAGGAGTCACAGTTTGAGATGAAAACAATAAAAAAAAAATGGTTTCTAATGTTGGTTTCCGATTCTGCAGTCTTTGGCAAGGTGTGCATCAAACTGGCATAAGAGACAGACTCTTATTGTCTGGGATACCAAGGCCTGCAGTTAGATATCTTTAATTTTGTTGTTGTAGGGGTCCAAGAAAGCCTGGGGTTAGCTTACACTCAAACAACAAACCAGCCCCCTTTAAAACAGGCTCCCACTAACAGAAGTTTGTGGGAAAAGCACCTTTAACACCTAAGAAAGCCCATAGGACCAGGAACCCAGGCTGGTAGAGAGCCGTCCTCTCTGTGGTAATTTTGTTTTCTCAAGCTTGTTCTTTGTTCCCTCTGACTGTGTGAATGATCGGAGGTATCACTGTGATTCTGTGAAATAGTGCATCACACTGTGAGAAAGGACAATGTCACTGAGAGCCGTGAGTCTAGTGTAGGCCCTATCTATGAAAACAAGTCCTGCACACACACACAGTACACATGCTGTGGAAGTTCTTTTTTTGCTGATTTTTTAACATATCAAAATGGGTGTGTCCACTTAATGCTGAGCCCACATTAACACAATTTTGGTTAAAGTTGCAGCAATGGCCGAATGTGTGTTTCTTCATTGGCCATTGTTCTTTCAAAAGAAATTCACAGTGCAGTTAATTCCAAATTAGGCAAAGCATTTTCTTCTAACAAATTGAAGACAATTTCATAAAACTACAGTAAAGCATTTGCTTAATCACTGTTTGCTTAAAGGAAAGAAGACTTAGGGCACGAGAAAAATAATGGCTCTCACCGCAAGTAAAACCCTTAACCCTTTAACAAAAAACTCTTGAAAAGAATATCATTTCTTAAATTCACATTACTATCTGGTATTTTGTATCACAACCTAGTATTGTTTAGCATTCTCCACTCTCTATAGCTATCAACCACTGCTGTAATTTGTGATTGGAGCTAATTAGCAGATGATAGCATGCTAATATGCTTAGCTGAGATGATGAAAAAGGGGCAAACCTTGGGTAAACATTAAACCTGCTCAGTAAGTAAACAGCAGCATTTAGCATTAGCATTCAGCTCAAAATACATCTACGGTGATGTAGCCTACATGTCACCTGCAGTTTAGGTCATAGAAATAAGGGTTTTGAAAACAAAGCCAGCCATGGTGCATCATGTGAACAGATAACAATAAAAAGGTAAAAGTGATTCAAACATGGGTAAAAATGTATAAAGCTCACTCCCCCCCCCCCAGTTTCTTCCTATTTTTAAATGCTGCTCTGGTAGATCACAAAGCCACGGTGCTCACTCTTTGTTCTCCAGTAAAATGTGTGAGGCCGAGCTAGTGAGGTGTAGCTGAGAAAAGGGAACCAGTCCAATGAGGGAAGGTGATAGGTCCGTCATGTGACCTCTCAAACTGGGGCATGGACCCAAACAACAAAACTTTGCTGTCTCAGGTATCGTGAGAACAACAGATGAGATTCGAGGAGACAGACAATAAAGAAATTAGGAAGGTAGAGACAGCGAGGACACATAGTGTCAATCCAGTAACTCCACTTTTTTCTATGGTTTTCATGCAGCAGGATCATGTGTAGCTCAAAAGGGCATGCAAGGAACAATCCATTTTGTAAGAATTCAACAAAAATAACGTTTTCACAGAAGTAGATGAAGAAATGTCATGAGTCACAATGAATAAAAAAGAAATGTCGGGAAATAAAGGAACACTCTCCCCCACGCATGCCAGCATGCTCATGTCAGCATTATGTTTAAACCATTACTGTGCTTCTAGCTTGGCTATATACTTAACTTTGGTTGTAAATAGGCATAATATGCTTCATTTGAGATTATTGTGTTTTTCCACAGCATTGGTAAAGTCAACACTGTAGCTCTGAAGGCACAGGAAGGCCTCTAAACCCTGTCTGATCTTGTAGAGCCTAGTGTGACTAGGAGGGGGCCACCCAAAATAATTTACAGATTTACACTGTGTAATCACACTCACATGGCCTGCCAGCCACCATCCTCCTGTGGCTGTCACTGCCTGCCTTTCATAAGCAGAATGGCTTCATACATAGATGGACTTCTAATCTGACTGTAAACAATTTAATCTCCCCAGAAGATATTACGGTTTTTCTTTCAACATTTGGATGTTGCTCAACATAATATACTTTTTGCATTAAAGAACTAAAGTAGATTGCTGGCACTGGCACGTTTATTCTGGGATTATTGTAATATATTAATCTCAATTATTCAATACAATAATATTGAGTATAAATTATTGAACTTGAATTAGAAGTAGCCTGTCATACTTTGTGTTTCAACCCAAGGCTTCTCCCTGCGACCAGACGTTTAAGAATTACTGTAGTGTTTCAGAATGCTGAGTCATGCTGCCATCATCATAAAAACTTTGACATTGAAGACACTAAACTGCACAAATAACCATAACTCCAGATTATTAACACACGGCATATAAAGCTCAAGAATAACACATTTTTACTGAAATGTTGTTTTAAGTATTTGCTCATATTTTGAGTGATAATTACATTACATTTGTGATGTAGAATTTTTTTCATGTTCTATTTCAAAGTCAGTGGTTGTTGGGGGATGAGGGATTTCTAAGTCAAATTTTCATTCCTTATCACACCTTAAAACACCTACGGTTTCTTACTGACATACTGTCAGTGCAGGTAATCCTAAACAAATAAAACTTCCTGTTCGTCTTCATCATCTTATTTGAATCATGTTTTAGGCTTTGAACTATCATCAGTCAAGCTTTTAAGCTTTTACTGTCAATGCACTTTAGCATTCTTGCTCGCTGATATGGTTCTGAGGTCTCAGTCTGTTGAACCAGAGCATCCAGTCTAGAGCAGGATCTCTAATAACCTAGTACAGGGTCTAATCAGACTCTTCATGTTTAGTTACAAGTCTCTTAAGTGCTGCCAGAAAACTGCCATGTGGTTATTATAATAATTATGCTTTGCTACTCCTAAAAAAAGCTTACATTTATAATGTAAGTGGACAAGGTGCACTACTTAGGCCTCTAAAGACTAATTTGTAAAACATCCAGACCAAGTTATGTATAAAGGTGTGCATCTTTTTTTCTTCACTGTCTCCACACCCGCACACAAATTCTTTCCCTCATTTTCCCCATTCACGCAGGCAAACATCTGCATGAGGAATGCATTTAAGAAAAACTTGTTTGAACTGTAACATGTGTTGGAGAGCTGTTAGCTTCCCTCCTTTTTTTTCCATGACAACACACATTTCATTTAAGTCCATGATGTGTTTTTAATTGTCTAGAAGGTTGTGGTTTGTTGTTGTTGTCTATTTGATAAATGTGGGTGGCACATAAACACAGAGGGGAAATCAAATCTACAGTACTTTGTGATTTTATAGTTTTGTTTTATTTTAACTATCATATCTCAGCAGAATTCTCCTTGTTTTTGAAGCTTTCCTCATCTGATAAAAATAAAGGGGAACGGGAAATTATGCCTCCTTTCCCCGTACTGTCTTCACCGTCATCTGATCCCCCTGCACACTCTCTGTCAGTAATAGGTAGAGTTACCTACTGGAGGTCATTCTGTGTCTGTTTAGTCCAGCCTGGTCAAAACACACACTAGTACATGCTTCAGGACATGTCAACATCACATCTGTTCCACTTATATGTCAGAAGAGGAAAATGCACAATACAGCATGACATACAGGGGCAGGCATGTCATTACCACATTGTGTAAATGTGCTTGTGCCACTGTGTGTGTTTCTGCTCTCGAATAAATGACCTGCATTCGGCAGAGGTGAATCAATAATACACAGAGAGGAGAGCAATCTATTGACTCTTGTATTCCTCAGTGCAAACTGATCCACAGGGCTTCACTGCTTTCTTTCAATCTGTCTATTATGAAGCCAAATCGAGGGTTGTTAATTCAGATGCAGGGGAACTTTAATATTTTTCAGATTTGAGGGAAACAAATAATCAATCCCAGTTTGGGTATTACTGTCATCTCTCAGGTCACAGGGGCAAATGAGCCCTGGAAACATGTTTTCTTCTGAAACAAAGAAACACAGAGTGAGAGCAAGAGAGGTAGAATCCACCACAACAGTTCATCCGTCACATTTATCCATCCAGTCAGGCCAGTTGTTGGTTTTGATGGCATCCCGCCCATTAAAGTCTCAGGCTTGTTGTATAAATAGATAAATAGATGGATGGATACATAGATAGATATTAA